AGGCCAAAGCCTTGTCATTTGAGGAGAGGACGAAGCTGTCAAAGAATCCAACAGGAAAGAGACGTTTTTGATATAATGGCTAAAAAGGAGAGCAATCTATGTTTGGCAGCAGATGTTGGAACTGCGGCAGAATTGCTTGAAATTGCTGAAAAGGTGAGAACGTCGGTTTTTTGGTATAATTTGCACCCCAATCTTACTTTTTTTTTTTTGGGGGGGGGGGGGGGTGTGTTTTAAAAGCACAAGTGCTATCTGGAAAATGGTTAAAAATGAAGTAAGTTTGTTAGTGGGATTTTTTCCCCTTTTGCCAACTGGGTTATGGGTTGAACTATTGCATGAGTAAATTATTTTATTTCAACGAATTTGATTTTCCTTGACAGGTTGGCCCTGAGATATGCCTGCTGAAAACTCACGTGGACATATTGCCAGATTTTACTCCTGATTTGGCTCTAAGCTTCGCTTGGTATAATTCTAATGAAATGCCCCCTTTTTTTTCTGTATATCTATTTTGCCTTGCCACTCAAGATTGCAAAACAAGCTTTTCCGTCCTAGGTTTATTGACTTTTGTATACTTTAATATTAGTTAACATCTATTAAAATAAAATGTTGATTTTGAGAATGTGATAAGTTTGTGTGAATTACATAATTTTCTGGCCTCGCTTTTTCTGATATGTGGCTCATTCTATTGAAGATTGCAGAAAATAACTTCTTTATCTTTGAGGATCGGAAATTTGCTGACATTGGTAATACAGTAACAATGCAGTATGAAGGGTAAGACCTTGCTCTTCTGTTTTGGATTTTTTCCCCCGGAAGTTCCCTCAAACTGCTCTTTTGGTTGAGACAAGTTCCTTTTTTTTTTTTCTTTTTTTTTTTTCCCCACTTTTTTTTTTGTACTTTGATATGACATTTTTTTCGTTCTGTTGTTTGAAGAGGGATCTTCCATATATTGGATTGGGCTGATATAATAAATGCCCACATTATCTCTGGTCCTGGAATTGTGGATGGATTGAAATTGAAGGTCTGTAATGTCAGATATTATTCATTTTGAATGCAGCATGACCTCAATTGATAGATTCATATGACTTGAATTGTACTCAGGGTTTGCCTCGTGGTAGGGTCTCTTGCTTCTTGCTGAAATGAGTTCTGCTGGTAACCTTGCCAAGGGAGATTATACTGCTGCTGCAGTGAAAATTGCCGAGGATCATTCTGATTTTGTTATTGGCTTCATCTCAGTCAATCCAGCATCATGGCCAGGGGCACCCCTAAATCCTTCTTTCATTCAGGCAACTCCTGGCGTCCAAATGGTGACTGGTGGTGATGCTTTGGGGCAACAATATAACACACCATATTCTGTGAGTTATTGAATATTGACATTCATCAGCCAAATTTTTTCCTTATCTACATGTATCAGAAAGTTGAACATTTGTAGAAATTGACCTTGTCGGAGTTACTTAGTTTTACCTGCTTAGGATAGAAAAGAATTCTGTTGGGATTATGAGAAAGAAAATGGAAGGTGTGGTGGATCTAGTTTCAGTCTCTAATAGATCTTTATGATATTAAAATGCCAATATTTGATATGTCAAATGAAAAATGCAAGTGAAAGGATATAAACGCTATTTTGCGGAAGTTAATAAAGCTAAAAGGAATGAGTTAGATGTGCATGGTGTTTTGGGGGGGGTATGAAACGCCACCTAAAGGATATGATTTTAACATACTCGGATCTCTTGGATTACACCAGTCAGCTTTGATTTCATTGTACAAAACAAGACACCAAGATCAACACCTAAGATGTCTAGACCATAGGGGACCAGCTGCCTCTTGGCTAACATCGTACTGGAAGATTGATCAGAATAAACAAAATTGATAGAATAGTTGAGGCTAATACCTATATCATGTATCACAATAGTGTATTATTGAAGTGACGAAAAATTACTTATTGGTTTTTTCTCTTAGCTTTGAACATTAAAAAAAAAAAAAAAAACCTGTAATTTTGGTAATTAATAATATTGCTAATTTTGGCATTGCAGGTGATCCATGACAGAGGAAGTGACGTCATAATAGTGGGACGTGGCATCATCAAAGCAGCTAACCCGGCTGAAACGGCTCGTGAGTACCGTCTTCAAGGATGGAATGCATATTTGGCCAAGTGCACTTGAGGCCTCACTTCAAACGTTTAATTGGATGAGTCTAATCTTTGTTTCTGTGACATGTCTAATTTCACTACAAACCCTAGAGGAAGAAAGCTCTTGGGTGAAATATGGTGTGCAATAATACTTCTGGACTAATTTAATGTGAGACCCTTGTGTTTTCATGCTCATGTTCTCGATGGTGCATGGTTTTCAAGTTTTCATAACTACCACCACTGATCGCATGATGTTAGAGTAGAATACTGATCGCATCATGTTTTATTATTATTTGTCATTAATTTCCTACAAAAGTTATATAATGATGATTGATTCATATTTAATTAAATTTTATAGACGTCACTTATTTGTGTTTTTCGGGAGAGGGGTAGACAGGATCACAAAAGGTGGCAGATTTGTATTTTACATGCTCTCAGCATTATTATTTATTTATTTATTTATTTATTTTTCAAATGCGTTATATGGTCTATTTATTTTGTTCCTATCCTTCTCTGTTGACTCTCTTGTTTTATACACACACACCCACATATGAAGAGTATCTCAATATCGATAAAAGTAAATCAAACTAATGAAAAATGTGATCTGACAAATTGTTAAATTTTTATGTGAAAACCAAATTCGACATGTAAACTTCAAATATGGCATCTTCCAATATTTATTTTAGATTCATCTATTGAACAAAAAAATCCAATAATACAAGAAGAAAATTACTGCCCGAGAATTCCATTGAAAATAAAAATGGCAGATGTCCAGTCCCAAAAAAAAAAAGGCAGATGGAAATTATATGCAACTACAGCAGAAGTGACGTTTAAGATTCTCTAAAGTAAACATCTTGCATTGCGTCATTCCTTCTGCTTGACAGATACTTTAACTTGAAAAGAAAGCAAAGGCCACTGAAAGAATCCTAAATGTCATAAATTACAGATAACTGCCTAATAGAACAAAATAAACAAAGTCAAATGATGGTACAAAAGCTGATCATGTGTGTTGTACATCAAACCAGAAAAGTAGAGAAGTTCGAGCATAAATTACCCTGACTCGTTGCAGCACGAGATCGCCACTTGTCAGAACAGCTTTGGCACCTCCCTCAATCCGGGTTTGAGAAACAAAAACACCATCATCATTGTTCTTCATGGATGAAGGAATCACCTCACGGCTACTGGCTGTACTCACAATGGGACATGAGAGGTAATCCAGAGGATCAGATTCACACTGAAGTATGCATCCATCTATAGTCAGCCTTCCCCTTCTATGGAGCAAGCAACAACCAAGCTCTGCCTTTACCGTTAGATTCGCTAGTTTGCACGTGGAAAGGAGCTCCAATGCACTGCCCACACAAAATTAAGAGCAGATACCACATGTTGCAGAAGAATACAGTGGTGACTTGAAGACCTGTCCATGCTGCTGGATTATGGTTGAAACAACAAAGATCGATTTTCGGATGCGGCAAATGGTATTTGCATTATTGTGAATCTCGTTCAGGGCATGTAGCTCAAAAAGTATTATGTCTAGCCACGAATATTATCCATTGAACCCAGCAGCATGGAGGTGGGTCTGAATTACCACTTAATAAGCTCAGCAACCAAGGTAAAAAATGTAGACAGAAGTTCTGCAAACCTGTCTGAGCCTCGAGAACAAATGAGCATTGTGTCATCCGGAAGTTCACCTGCACCAATCTGAATAAAGAAAGAGGAGATTAAAAATGGAAAATGTGGGAACATTTCTTTACATGAAAATTCTTTTCCCATGGACTAGATTAGCGATGACGGTCAAAGCACCAATTTTAATTAACAGAGAATTCCTCCGGTGTTGGGCAGAGAATGAAATGAGCACACGAAAAAGATGTAGTCTCACGGCCAGAGTTGATATAGTTGTAGCAATTGCCATTTAGAATTTGATATCAGATGTAATCACACACACATTGTGTGTGTGTGTGTATCCCTTTTCACCTACTTCAGCTAGAAACTACACAAATGTTTTTTATTCTTTCACCTAGGACTAAGAAAAGTGTGAGAGGGCTTACTAGGCAGATCGGTTTCTTTATCTGAATATTAGAGACCCGGTGGCTCCCTCCAGCTGCAACTAGAATGGTATCACCTGGTCTGAAACAAAACAAAACAACGATCATAATCTATGAGACGAGAAAAATCCCATAAACAAGGCAATGATGACAAACCTAGCTGCGGAAACAGCAGTTTCAATGCTGGGGAAAACACCAGGTTCCGATAAGTCTTTGGCCGATCGATCTACTCGAAGCCACAGGCGAGGATGACATGCCAAGTAATTCCATCTGTGGCAAACGAGGGCGGTGTTATAGCGATCTGCAAACTCAATAGCAGCTTCGTGACAGAAATGACACTAATTTTCCATACCCTAACCCTACTTCATACTCCAAATTAACAATAACAACCCGAAGAAACATCTAACAGCATAGCACACACAATCACAACAACCCCAAAAACAAAACAAACAAAAATCCGAATGAACGAAATTTTTAATTTTGACAAAATCCTAAATTGAGCCTTCTTCAATTAAACCAAACAGGTAATGGCAAAGAGAACTACAGACTCAATAACATCAAAGTGACCGAAATGGCACCAATTCCACACCCTAATCCAACTTCATGGTCCAAATTAACAAGAAGAAGCTGAAGAAACATCCAACAGGACACCATAGCATCAAATTCGGCAGAAAGAATTCAACTTGAAGCAAAACAAAAACTGAGGTCTTGCAAAATCAAACGAAAGGAATCAGATATGACAAAACCAACACGGAAGAAAGGAAATAGGGTTTACCAGGAATAGGGGAGAGGAAGCTGAAGATGTGCATAAGACAACCATCGTCGAGATTATTGATGTGAGCAACTGAGGATGAAGAAGATGAGATTCTTCTCCTCAAACTTCGCTTCCACCTTCCCTTATCTTCTTCAGCGATGCTCGGTTTCATCTGAACCACATCCGGATCCAACTCCATTGCCCACCTACTTCCCTCAATCGGACCCGCGCTTGGTTCGACCTCCTCGTCAGCCCTATCCCAAAATTTTACTTGATCGGCATTACGACCAACCGACAACAAACGCTCAACACAATTGTCATATCTTAAAAACTGGTTTTCATTACTGGCCAAAAAAAAAAACTGCTTTTTTCCTGCCAGCCAAAAAGAAAAAAACACTGCTTTTCTGTCTACTATTCATAAGTTTCAAATTTAAGAAAAAAAGCATGAGGTATTTAGAGTAGCTTTATAAAAATAATTTTACAAACTTCAAAATAAAATATATAAAAAATTTTTTGCATTGACTTATGTAAAAATATTTTTTAAATTATTTTGAGGATATCAAACGCTTACTAGTCTATTTTGTAAATTTTAATTTGGCTTTGTCTTATCATTTAATAAATTTTCTTTAAAATTTTTTTTGAATTATTTATTCTTTCTCATTTGCCATGCTATTTTGTATCACATCTTTCAACAAATTATCTTTTTTTTTTCCATTTATGATAAGATCATATTAATCTATTTATTGTTTTTAACTAATTACTCGTTATCTGTGAATTTATCATTTAAAACTTATAATAAGAATAAGAAGAAATATAAATTTATAATAATTTTAATTTTAAAAACTTAATTTTTTTATAAAAGAGTTATTTATAATTTTCAAGAGTCTGTTTGTGTATAATTCCTCTTGTCACTAAGATGCTCATTATTACTATCAAAGTGTTTGGATAAATATGAAATCATAATTTTAAAAGTAATTTTACAGTATACAAAATGAATATGTAGAGAAGTTTAACTCGATTTGTCAAAAAGTACTTTTTAAAAGTATTTTTTTAGTTACCCAAACACTTCATATATCTTAAAAATTCCAATCAACAATATCAAACTTAGAAAAGATTTTTTTTTACCAACCTTAAAAAAGATATTGGTGTCAATTATTCCTGACAATTCACTTTTTTAGTGAATTAAGATTGTATGGCACACATCAATTATGTTATTTTTCAAAAAAGATTTGGATTGATTTGCTCATTAGTAAGGTGTTTGGATGTAATCAAAACATAGTTTTAAAATGCTTTTACGGTAGACGAAGTAAATATGTGGAAGAGTTTATCTTGTGCCCAAACACCCCCTAGGTTCTTGATACTCAACACTCAATACTCTATTTCCTTTCTTTTAATTTTTTCTTAATAAAAATATTTGAGAGGGAACTGCGAGGCATGGTACGAAATGCAATGTTGTACATAAAACTATTGATAAACAACAAATTTATAAATAGTAAATATATGTATATATAGCATGGATATATCTCTTCTCTCACCTTACGTTAACAGATAATTTTATGATAGCAAAATTACAATAAAATCTTAAGAAAAGAAAATAATTACAAATAAGTCTTATAATTATCATTTTCTACTTTAAAACTTGTCATTACAAACTACTTAGATTGTTATTCAGACTTTTTAGTAATTATTTTTATTTCTTAGATCTTTATTGTAATTCTCCCTTTTATGAAGTGTAGAGAGAGAGTTTTGTGAAGTTTGGATTTTAAAATTTTAGAGGTATTGTTTTAGAATTTTTTTTCTTAATTTAAACTTTGAACCAAAAAAAGGAAATTAATTTTAACCGTTTTTAAGAAGAAGTAGAATTCCAATTAACTAAGGAGCTTGAGGACTTTAAGAAATTAAATTAATTAATTAATTGCGCACACTCTAAATGAGTCATGAAAAAGTCTCCAATCATCATTATCAATATTTATAAATGCATGCACCACAACTTAAACACAATGACACACGTTTCAATTGGAAAAAATAATAATAAGGGCACCGATTGCTCTGTATCATTAAAGCACTAATACCTGTTCCATAAATATTATAGGGGCAAAAATGCTCTTTAATACTACTTCTGGTACTTAATATAAGAGTTAGTTAATTAATTTAAATAGATTAAGAAAACTAGTTAAGTTAGTTATTTATATTAAATGTGTTATTTTTCTTAATATCATTGCTAATCAAGTATATTGGCTAGAACTGCTATTATTACAAAAACTATTTTAAAAATAATTGAATAAATATAAGAGAAAAAATAGATTGGATTCTTATATTTAGAACCAAAATAAAAATTAAGCAAACTCTTATATTAAAAACAAGAGGTAGCATAGAATTAATCTTAGGTTAATAGTCAACATTAGTATTCACTAGTCAATAGACAATATAACAATAGTTTTGATACTTAAGGAGCGACATTACTCCAAAAAAATCTCTTTTAACCCTAAAGGCAAATGTTTCCTGTATTGTTAGACATGCTCCCAAATTATACAAGTGCACAACATGCACATCCCTTTTATTACTTTTAAAAGAACGAATTAATATTATTAAAAAAGAAGTGCTTGGTTTACTAATAATAATAATAAAATTAGTAGTAACAAAAACCGGGAATCAAATAAGACAAAATACAACACTAAGTCGGTAACTACAACTTGTCATGGTTAAGATAAAACCTGATCAACAGACGATTCCTAGCACACATGCTATCAAGAACTCGGGCAGTGGTTAATCCACAAAGATACAAACATCTGACTCAAAATTAGGCAACACAGCTGTTGCAATTATTTGAATGCAACACAAGAACTTATTAGTGGATCCCCTACATTTATAGAAAAAGACAAAATATGTTTATCCTCTTTTCTTTTTCTCTATCTAACCTTTTTTCCTGCACCAAGTTCTCTAAATGTAGAGAATCAATTCACCATTCAAGCTTCGATCCCCTCATAAGCTTTTTAGCCTCCAACTAATGAAAAATATATATTTGCGCAGAAAATTAATCATTGAGAATTGAGGTGCAAAGGGAATAAAATCGGCTCATACGCAGAAAACAAGTCAGCTAGAGAACTTGAATTTATATGAAGTATGGCTTCCTGTACCCCTCCTGTGCGTGATTTTTGTAGAAACCAAAATCTACAGGCTAACAAGGAGACTCAATCTCAACTATTGACAAATAGATATTGATTCAATGATGAGAGGCAACTGTCTGCCAAATATTCATAATTAAAACTCCCATAATATGCCAGCCATAACATGAGATTTGGGTGGTTTTGGTACTCCATACACATATCTAGCTAGTTCTGACAGAAACAACTTCTCAGCGCTCAACACCTTTAGTGTGTTTAGGCACTGGGAGGTCCACACTAATAGTCATGCTTTATGGTTGAAGTATTATATAAGCCCTAAGAGTACACAAATTACGCAGCTGATGCTCGGGAATCTGTGAAGATAGGCCTAAGCACTTGGGCTCGACTAGAATCCAGACAGCTGACAATGAAAGAAAATAGTTGCGTTACAAGTAAAGCCATACATATTCTATGTAGAGACAATGGCAATAAACATGGAAGCAATAATGGAAAGAATTACCCCTCAGATTTCTAGATAACTTTTCTCTTCATTGAGACGTTTCAATCTCCTGAGCTCCAACATCTGCCGGCCCATTGTTAGAAGCATTCTCTGAAGTGTCTATGCAAGGACTGGTTCGAAATTGATCTATTGGTTGGGAATGTGCCTCAATCAATGAACAAGAATTCTTAAGCCCTTGGTCAGAAAATTGTTTGTTACTTTTCATATTTTCATCTGGCAAGCACTTCACAGTCAAATTTGGCTGGTTGGCAGCAAGGCTTTTATTTTGCGTCCTAGCAGAGATAGGTGAGTCAAGTTTATCAGCATAATTTCCATTTAACTCCAGAGGCCTATGAAAGAGCAGATGAGCCACAGTTCGATCAATGGGGTTTGTCTCTGTTTCAGCATGGGGCGTCTTGGCATACCTGTGATCCCGATTTGGTTCATACAGGAACATTAAACCATAACCAAAAAGTTAAATTGATCATCGTTCAAGCAAAATCAGCAAATATAGTGGAGACTTTACTTTCATCTTTGAATTGAAGTTATGAATAGCCATTCAGTTGGAAAACATGATTACATGATTAACCTGTTGACTGCCGCTCAGCAGAACACCTGTTCTAAAAAATGAATTATTATTTAGGTAATTGTTAACATAGTGTCCAGTGGCTGTCCATGAATAGCAAATACAGTTTTGGCATGCAGAAAACAGCCATGCATCCATGACTAGTTCTTAAAAGCCTGAAATATTCTTTTAGAGCTTTGTTTTGGTAAAATAAAGAAAAATATTACCAAAAAAATATATAGTAACTCAAGTGCCATGGGCTCAATGAGGTAAAAGTAAAATCAAGTTGGCGCAGCTCTACTTATACCATATATGTACCATCTCAAAGAAAAAGGGAAAACTGAGAGGGCACGAAGTTGCCACCCTCACCATAACATGACTCCACGACTATCTGTTTCTCAAGTTGTGCATCAGAGATGAAGAAATATACTGAACTTCTCCATGAGCACAGGATATTTCTCATGAAGTGATGGGAGTCGCAGGTAGCAAAAATATTTTCTTCACCATTTCCGCTTCACTTGTAAATGATATAAAATAATATAGTAAATGAAATTTCAGCAAGCCATGGAAACTAAGGAAGCATTGTATTATAAAATCTTTCCTAACCTGTATTGGCAATTGACTTCTTCTCTTTGAAGTGCGTCATGTTCTTCCCTGCTATTTTTGTTCGCACCGCTACTATCACTAGCAGGATTCCTATCCATTGCACTTTGTGCCAAGCGGAACAAGCTATCTCTGAAGCAGAGTCTTATTTTGATGTCCAACTGTAGATAAAAGCATGCCTCGGGATTGTAGCCTTGTCCAAATTAGCATCCAAGGAAATAATCATAATATAAAGTGTTCACCACTAACAACTCAGCCATACCTTTGATATAATGTCCTGAAGCTTGTACAGTATTGTTTCTTCAACAAAACAATCATCAATAGCTCCAGAGACTGTATGGGAGTCATCTTGTTCAATAGGTGGATCCAGGGCAGGAAAAGTGCTTTGATCTTCAACTTCAGGATCAGTCCCATCTGAGGAACGATTTTGCATTTCTTGAAGATATGTTTGACCAATAAATTTATTAGTGCTAGGAACTTGATTGCCCAATTGCTGCTGCTGTTTCTGAATTGCAAGCATTGCCTGCATTTGTTGCCGCCTCCTCAATTTTTCAATTTTTTCCTGAGGAGTCATGGTCAGACTTTTGACTGAGTCCCCAGTCTTCTTCACAGGATTCACTAAATTACTAGAAACTTCATATCCAGAAAGTAGAGGTTGATGCCCAAGATCTGCCTGAGTCTGAGATAGCATTGGGATAGCTGGATATGCATTGGCTGGGTTTCCATACACAGCAGATACTAGATATGGATTCATGATGTTCTGATAAAAGGCCTCAGCTCCTTGGATCTGCTTCTGTTTTCCAGGAACCGAAGGGTGAGAAGATTGTATGGCAGAAGGTGTTGGTTGATTCTCAAATTGTTTTGACAGGTTTGTTGAAGGAGACCAACTACCATAGGAATTCTGCAATCTTCTAGCCTCTTGTTTTCCCTGTGGTTTTTTCTGAACTTTCAGCAGATTATTTTGCCCACATTCCTGAATAAATATAATACAAAACAAGTTAAATAAGTTGATATAGATATGTTGATCAGACCTGTTGCACAAAATTATTTACTAACAGACACAAATACCAGTATTTTTTAATTTTGGTTCCATTAATGGCAGCTATAACTTGTTCTGAAGCCGCTTAATTTGTTCTCCATTTTGCCCCAGGTTGCTTTCTGTGGCCTAATATCCTTGTAATACATCTTTCCTTGTTTTGGTCTAACTAGTTCTATTTCAGTTTGTGTGCCTTGAGAAAGAGTTTGAACAAATAAATGCCTAAACTTTCAGTCATCCCATATCAATCATTCAATGCGACTGTGCTATAATTTATAGAATTAAAGGTTATTTTCCCACAACTGGGCGAAAGCTAAAAAGAACCAATATGCTGCTTGTGGTTCACTCACCAAGGAGCCATGAATTAACAAAAAGTTACTTGCAACTGTAACGCACTGAAAGTAAGGGAAATGCGTCTTGTGTGATCATAGTCTTGGAATATAAATAAAAGTTAGCAAGTTACCTTTTTGTCAATTTTGCAACTGAGCCTTTAGATAAGTTAGTTTGACTTATTTTAATTAATCCCTTCCATCTATCTCTAACTTTAATCTTCCCCATTTACTCAACATGGTTCTGGGTATTTGGAATCATCATACTTGAACCCTAAACCAAGCTTCCACAGGCACACAAAATAAAAGAAAATAAAAAAGAGAATAAAAATATCCCGCAACTGGAGTAATGCTTTTGTTTAACTATACCTTTTATTGCAAGTTTGTATTCTATTACTGAATTGAAGTATTCTAGTTTGGTTTAACATTCAAAGAAGTTGAAATCATGACTCTCCGTGTGAACTAATGACTCATAAGGAGGGGATATCCGAGGAGCTGTGTATTGGAAATTTTGCCACTGATAAGTAATCTCATAGTTTAACATAGATTTTTCTTCCTTATTTTTCTCTGCCCAATTTGGATCCTAGCACACTGGTACAATTATTCCATGTTATTTGTATTTTGATGTGAAATCCAAATAGACCAGACAGGAGAAAGTCAACGGAGCCAGCTAGGGGAAACAGTATGAAGAACTCAAGGAATTGCGATTTTGGGTATTTGTTGGAAAGAAAAGCTAGAATTTTTAAAGGTGCTTTGAAAACTGTCAATGGCTTATAGGAAGAGCCTCATAGCTACTCTGTTCATGGTTATCTTAAACGAGTCTCTGTCAGTCTAAAATATATTGACCTCTGCAAGCTCCATTTCGAACAACTCTGGGTCTTGGATTTTGTCGGTGCAAGGACCGTGCAAGCTTCAAACTAGTGACTAGCCAAACATATGTTTGGGCTTCTGTCACTCGTTTCTCCTAAGCGCGAGCAATGTCTCCTTAGCTTTGCCATAAAATTCACAAAGCTATATACCTGAAGCTTACACTAAGGTTGCAGAACTCAGTTGTACCTGGGTTGACTGGGGGACACAAGTCAGCAATAAGCTAGTGCTCACACATGAAACTGGCCTTTCAAATAACCGTCAAGCTCCTGAACAAGGTCTGTGTTGCATTGGTTTTGCTTTACAGTTGCTTTCCACTAATATGGGGGAGTGGGTTGAATACACTTCCCTTGGAGTGTGAGACCATGGATGAGTAGATTACGGTGGTAGATGTGCAACAATGACCTCATCAAAACTAGTCTCGCATGGAACACTAGAATTGATATCACCCGCCATAAATTAGAGAAACTCCGAGACTTAACTATCAAAGGCCACATAGATGACCCGGAAAGCAATGCTTCACAGAGAAAGGACATATTACCAAATTTATAAACAGGGAACAAGAGCCTAGAATCTTTGATAAGATCCAAGATAGGTAGCGAGAAAGAAGGAAGGAAAGTCTTTAATAAAATATGAAATCAGAATCTAACTTCACAGATTAATAAACTTGAAGGAAAGTCTTTACTACCATATAAGCAAGAAACTTAAACAACTAATAAAGCCTAAAAAGAATCTCCCAAATTACAATGAAACTCAAAATTTACCCTTACCTATCCTGCTAAACTCCATCTTTTTTATAACATAAAAATCGATGTCACATGATAAATAAATCAGAAAATAACCAACTAGATCCTAATTCCTAACCAACATTTGAAAAATAAACAAATCCTAATTGAGATATTTATACATAAATATCATGCTTGTTTGCAATCAAAAATATATTAACATCACCTAAAAGTATGTTAACAAGCTGACCCACTAATTCGCCCACTCTCCCATGATGTACGATGCCCTATCAATCTAGTTCTACAGAAATTCTCAGATGTACACTATTATCAGTAGGCTATAAACTGGAAGAACAATCAATCACGAAATGTGGTTATGAGCTGTAAAATTGCTGCGCAGCCCCTAAAAGTACTCCATCACTGAATTCTCTCACATGTAAAGGAATATGAAAACAGTCCTCTAGCTTTGAAAAGGCTAGAGTCACTCCCGAGTCTTGCCAAACCTGTTATTGACCTCTCACTCCACAATATATTCCATCATTCCCTACCAACAGCCCCAGCTTCTCTGTCTTACAGCCCATGAGATGTAGTAACAATTGCAACTGTCAATTATAGGGATCATGTCTCTTTTTGCTATAGCACGTGCAAAGTGGCTTTGTATCAAAGGTTCAGCTTGAGGGCATGTTAAGAGACATCAAGAATGTAGTGTAGTAGATAAAAAGAAGTCAATTGTAGCGCCCCCATGATAAAGGGCAGGTATCATTATGTTGTTATACCATCATTGTATTGTTTAAATACAAATTTAAGGGCAAAATATATGCACACATCAAACACTATCATTGAGTTTGTCAGTAACAGCTTTTGTATCGTCTCGTCTTTTTCTTTCTAATTTCAACCCTCATTATTTTCTTAACAATTTCCCATTCCAAATGATAGTTGCTCTATCACAATCTGTGCAACATCATAATTGCTGATCCACAGTTACTTTCTTTTCTTAATGACAAAAATCATCCAGATTCAAAGTTTTTTAGCCAACAATTGACACAACATCAATTTATACTCCGTGTAATCCTAGCTCACTGTGTCATCTAACCATCGGAACTCCTACTTGAGTAAATATGTATAATGTTGAGAAGATGGTGAAAAAGCGTATATCACTTAATGGAGGGACAAGCAATGTGCTTATACTCTTCGTTTTCAGTAAGAGTGGGCTTCTTTTAAGCACCAACCATATAAAATAGCTTCTTTTTATTGTCGTCTCACAACAAATGGGCAGGAAAATACCCCTAGAACATTAATCGAGTTCTTCCATTAGATAACAGAACATAAAGTGTATCGTTTTATAGTTCCAAGATAATCTAGGGGTTACCTTATCAGCAAGTTCATTGGCATTTGCTACATTTTTGACACCAGATGTTGAAGAAGGGATTCTACCAACAATATCCTGATTTTTTGGAGGGGGGAAAAATGAAGTAAGTAATCTCATAGTTCCCATATACAGGCAAAGAACTTGATATTATAGAGACAGGTGTTTCAAATTGAGTTAACATACCTGATGCTCCTTTCTAGCAGGCTTGCTTCTCTCTCCACCGTAAGTCACATCAGTTGTGATAGCATGCACATTTTGTGTATCATGGCATGCGGAACCACCAATCTTGTCATAGCTGAGGGCAAATAATTTGTCATTACATTGAACGTAATCTGCTTTAATTTCCAAAGGCTCAGATCTGTTCCTTAAAGCACCTGCTGTACCGGGAGTATCCAAGGATATAGGTGCTGTGCTGTTACTCACATCTTTTGAAGACCACAGTTCACCAGTATTATCAAGACTTACATTGCCAAAAATAGAATCGTCATTGCTGCAAAATATCACTTGTGAGAATATTGAGTCAGACAGATGCCATTGTAAAATTACCCCCCAGGGGGGCGCTCGTATATAACTGATAGCCATATGATAAGCTACATATCAATGATATTCATCATTCAGAGGAATTTAGTACTTCTATTCAATGTCATCCATCATGTGATATTTACAAAATAGTATTGAAGTTACAAGACAATGTGACCAGTTGTGCACTGTTGTAACTTCAATAATATGGTAAGCTGTAAATCAGTGGTATTCACAAATGCCTCTCTATTTCAGTCCATTCACTCAAAATATTATCGAGGTTACAACACATTTGTTTTCAAGTTGAACAAAAATATCATTTTATGTGGAGCCACTCAAATTCAGATGGAGTGATGTATCAACAGTTGCATACATTTGTGACTGCTAAAGTTCTTAAAAAGAAGGCAGGGAAGAGACCTTTTTCTTTATGGAAAACGTTCTAGAAGAAGGTAAATAGACTTTGGTAACTTGGAAAAAGAATGACACCCTTGTCAAAGAAATTTGTGATAATAATGTGCTATGAAGACAATGCATATATCAGATATACAATAATAAAACAAATTTACATAACCTGAAAATTCGCTCGAGGTCATCAAAGCTTCCTATGTTTCCCCACCCATAGTCACCAAAGTCACCTTGTTCTTTACCTTCATTTGCAATTTGGAAAACTCCAACATCCTTTCCAAGTTGAGCGGTCTCTTCTGTCAAACATGTACGTAGTTAATAATTAGTATTAGTAATAATGAGATAAAAATACATTTCATGGATTTTTAGTCATTTGCATATAAATATGGTGAGACAAATGTGAAACACACAGGCAGACATATATCCACACTGCACATGGACATGCATAGAAATCCATGCTATATACGCATAATTCCAGCAATTAGCAATTTTACCACCTCTTGATGAATTGAGTTGTCTAATTTCACTAAAAGTTTTAGATACTTCGGTACCCAGGGAACCCTGATCAGTCTTAGCTGCACTGGATAAAGACAAGTCAGCCCATGAGTTAGTGTCATATCCTGACGCAGGTAGTCCTCCACTATTATGAAGTTTCGATGTGCTTCCTAGCTTTCTGCGCTGAACATCAATTTTAACCTCTGGCCTCTTATGCTCTGAGAGCTTATTGCTACTGGCTTCCTGGTTCCATTCTTTCTTGTTTCCAAGATCTGCAGTTACCTCTGGATAAGGCACAATATGATCATCACTCGCACCTGCCTCGCCCCATATTATGTTGGCAAGCTGAAAACAATCATTTATTAGGAATACAATAGAATATTGATGAGGTGAAAGTCATCAAGAAAAAGAAAACATTGGGAATATATGGTCACTATTACATGTCAGTAAAGTTCAAAACAAGTCCATAATCAGGTACGCATCAATGGTCTGATGCTAAGATCACATCTTAAAGCTAAAGAAGGATATTCCATTTAATTTTCAATCAAACAGAAGTACTCAACTGATTCTGAATCAAATTTTCAATATAACAGACATATTCAAGAGGAGTAGAATATTCACCAAGAACACAGGGGAAAGAAAGTAAAAGGCAAACAAGAACTGCATATGATATTTCCTGATTCCATGTTTGGAATCAATTTTTTTTTATTTATATTTCAAAATTGACTATAATAGAGACAAAAGTAAAAGAAAATTTAGAATCCTGTGAGACCATACGGCAAAAACTCAAGAAACTTGGGGGGGGGGGGAGATTCATAGGTGAATAAGAAAACATTTTGGCATGAGCATATCAGTTCAGCTCCTGTTCATGCTGTTAATTGCCCACTCTAAAAATAGATAAATAAGAACAGATGATCTGCCATCAGCAAAAAATAAAAAGAGAACAGATAATCCACTTTTATGAAGAAAGTATATCATGTTAATATTTATCTAGATTTAAAAAAAAAAAATTACTCCGCCCCTCATCCATGCCTCCTTGTCATAGCAATTGAAGATGATTCTGAATCAGAGTGCACCCAACAGCTAACCTTCCCGAAATGAATCAATATCATTATTTGGTCTTGATGTTTGTCAATCTTTGCAGGAAAAAGATCCGAAGAATTATAATAACTCCCAGCTCCATCCGTAAGGGTTGAGGGGACAGGCTATTGCAAGACCTCTAATTGCGAGTTGTGACTACACATGTCGGCTCTCTACCATTTCATCTCATCTCCACTGTATCATTTCCATAGTGTACAAGTTCCACAACATTCGAATCAGACTCATTCGTATAAATTTAAACCATTGCAAATCCAACTCCAAAGGCCTAAAATCCGTTTTACAACTCGAATCAATGCAATATTTTTAATATTGGATTTGGAACGCTATTTCTGAAGCATTGTTTGATGGATGTACTTTCCACGTCTCTTCATGAGGTACATCAGAGAAGTTTCCGCTTCGTCAAATATTCAACATCTCCCTTATCACAACACGGTCAAAGACTTCCCCGACACATCCCAGCGGAACCAGCTAAGTTTCCAACTCAGTTCCAAGTTCGTACGATCATTTCACATTCAAACCACCAGAAACTATCAACTCAATTACAACTACAAAAATTTAGAGACCTAAAACAACGACGTCGTTGACTTGAACAAGAAAAGAAGTAGAGCAAAAAAAACAAACACAAAAAGAAAAAGCTGGAACTCAGCTCACCTCTTCTTCGTTCCAATCAAACATTTCTTGCATAACTAGAACAGAAATCCTCAAGTCCAAAACCGGAATCAAATACAAGCCCGTGAATTAGTCCACTCATCGCCGAAATCACCAGAAGATCACAGAGAAAAGCAGCCCAAAAACACCATGAAATTGAGCCGAAGAAACAGAGGGAGTCAGAAAAAGCGGCGAAGAAAGGTAAAGTAGAAGCATGCAGAGAGAACAAAAACTTTAAGCTCCTGTCCTTCACGGTGAAACGGCTACAAAATTTGCAGAAGCTGCGAGACACAGAGAGAGAGAGAGAGAGAGAGAGGATTGACGAGGAGGAAGAAGGTGGTGTGGTGGGTCGAGCTCACGTGACGTCGCGTAAGTACGTGAATGGCTTACAATTAAGAGGGAGTGGGTTCCACACGTGCGACACGTGTGAATGGGGGCATCTAAACTAGTGGCGAGGAGGAGCACGATCAAATGCTGAGATGTAATTGGCTGGTGGGACATATAATAAAAATAAAAGATTTTTGAACCAATAAATTTTCCGCGGGTTTCGATTTCCATTTTTACTATTCGTCCGCCCGGTTTTTCCCATTCGGGTGGGGCCCAGGCTCTGTTCTAGTGTCTGGTTCAGGTCGTTTTACGGGTCGCTTTCGCCTTTCAGGTTGGGTTTGCTTGGCTGCTTGCCCTGCTCCCCACCTTGAGTTTTGCCACCGTGGCACCATGATCATTATCATCATCATATCAATCAAATAATTTAAAAATAAAAAATTAGTATATTAATATGGTTATTCATTTGTTTTCTTTTTGTGTTCTTATATATTTATCCAACGTCTAATCCATAATCGAAGGATTCAAAAAAAAAAAAAAATCTGATATCATGGGAATGAGATTATGACCTGCCTTAAAATCGAGGGGTAAATTTGTAATTTTGTAATAGGAGTCTTCGTTTCCACCCCTCATATACGTTAACAAGCAATAAAACTTTTTTTCTGGCTAAGGAAAATTTATAATTAGTTTCCATTCCCTGAATTTGATTTATCACTCAGAAAACTTATTAATAATTAATCTTTTATTTAATACATATTTTTAAGTTTTCCTTTCTTAATGTCTACTGCACATGTTCTTTTTTTTTTTTTAACCAGAATACTGCTCATGTTCTAATGCTATACGTGTATACCTTTACCTTATGGGAAATGGTAGGAAAAGATGGAGAGGACAAATTTTAATAAGCTTGATTTAAAAAATTGGAGAAATTGGGTCAAAAATTTTAAATTAATTTTGCTTGGTCTTTATCTTACATTTTTTTTTATCAAAATTTTATAATCCCACTCTTCTCTAATTTTTTAAATCAAACTCATTAAAGTTTTCCATCCCCTCATCTCCCCTCTAATGCCCTTGTTACCAAACATGGGGTAAGACTTCTTTATAAGAAATAACTTATAGTTAAAATCTAGCTATAAATTGCTTGGTATGGGACCTTAATCCATGTCATATCTCATATTTATTATTATTTTTTAAATTAATTTATCTAACTTATAAATTGGTGTGTAATTAATGTGACACAAGGATATTTTTTGGAGATCAAATCCTATTTGATAAAATTAAATAATTTATTTATATTCTTTTAATTTATTTAAAGTAATTAGATAGCTCTTAGAAGGATATCATAAAAAGGAGCTGGAATTTTGGTACATACGAGTTTATGTTTCATGTTGACCACCAACTTAGATGGTGGGGCTTCGTGTATCAAGTTGTAACATTAGGAGGTTTTGAATGAATAAAGTTGAGTTGTTATAGATATTTTATATAATAGATGTACTCATTTCGGTTTCTAATAATGGAATTAGTTGATAGTTAAATTTAGTATTATATATAATATATCAATTCAATTTGTTTCATGTACTTATTATTTTCTCCAAATTAATTGCCTAACTCAGAAACATATATACTACCTCCGGTCCTTAATATAAGACCCTGTTTGACTTTTTGTTTGGTCCTAATTATAAGACCCCAATCCATTTTATCTCTCATATTTATGTATTTTTTCCCAAGATAGTCCTTATAATAATGATAGTTCTAGCCAATACACTTAATTAGTAAGGATATTTTAGGAATGACAACACTTATTTATTACAAATAACTAACTTAACTTACTTCCTTAATCTCCTCAAATAAGTCAACTGGGTCTTATAATTAGGAACGGAGGTAGTATAATCCAGCGTTATATAGGGATATTTTTAAAAAATTAAATCATATTTGTTGTAATTAAGTAATGTATCTAACTTCTGAAATCTATCAAAATAAGTTAAATAATTCTTTGTTAGGCCCCCTCCTATAGTCCTACCTTTTATACAAGCTTGTGATTCATATTGATATAATGGCAGGAAAAGAAAATAATTGGTGATTATTGGGAGTGATATGTCATCAATTACTTTTTAATAAATATCAAAATATATATTGATATGGAAATGATAATTAAGCAACTTGTTTTTTTTTGGAAGTGTGTTTAACAAAGGAAGTATATATTGGGAGCAACTTTCTGGTACAACAAGTGGTGCTTGTTGCTACCTAAAATATTGCCATGAGAGAGGGAGAGAGAGTATGGGCAGCATTTTACATTTGTACCAAATATATATATATATATATATATATATATTCTTGATCTTGATATTTTTCTTCGCGCTTATCATCTTGAAAGGACACATGATAATGAGCTTCTTATCAAATTTCTGTTTTTGTTCCTTATGTCAAATTTGAATTCTCCTAATTCATGGTATCTTTACTTTTATTATATTTTTAATTTATGTAATGAAAACGAGTAAGGTGAATTGAATTTTAAAAGTTGGTTATTCATATATATATGTGTGTGTGTGTAAAAGAACAGCTTTAATCGTACATCATATTACATATAATGAGTATTTAACATATTAGCATATAAATATAAATGACGATGAATAACATACAATAAAATTGGGGAAAAAATAGTAGTAAGTAATGAGATGATATCCTCATGCAGATTGAGAAAAACTTGTGAAAACTACTTGGAATTGTTGATAATACCGTTTTATATATTTTGGATTACATTTTGATTGATAATAAAGCTTTTTTTTAGTACACACATTGTAATACCTCCGATCCTAATCATAAAATCTCATTTATAGTCTATAAATAAAATCTTATAATTAGAACAGGAAGTAATAATTCATTTTTAGGGATATTTAAAAAATATATATATAAAAGAACAACTTTAATCGTACATCATATTGCATATAATGAGTATTTAACATATTAGCGTATAATTATAAATGACAATGAATAACGCACAATAAAATAGGAAAAAAATAGTATTCTTCTGGTCCTTAATATATGAGCTAATTTTTAAGTTAAGTTTAATCTTAAATATAAGACCCATTTCTTACATTTATTAATTTTTTCTAAATTATTCCTATAGATACTCCATCAACCATAATCAAGTAAGTAAGGGAAAGAGGATATTAAGAAAGAGGATTATGGTGTTTTAGAAAAAATATGTCATATTTCTTATAATTAACTAACTTACCTAACTTCCTTAATCTAATCAAATTAGTTAAATATGTTTTATATCAAGGATTGGAGAAGTAGTAAGTAGTGAGATGATATCCTCATGCAGATTGAGAAAAACTTGTGAAAACTACTTGGAATTGTTGATCATACCGTTCTATATATTTTGAATTACATTTTGATTGATTAAATAAAGCTTGTTTTTAGTGCACACAGTGTACTATCTTTGGTCCTAATCATAAAATCTCGTTTATAGTTTACAACTGAGATTTTCTAATTAAGACCAGAGATAGTAATTCATTTTTAGGTATCTTTCAGAAATCATTCTTATGAGCGGATTCCACGAAATTAAACATCTTTCGTGGCTACTAGAATTGTTAAAGCTTCTGTAAATAGGTCTTATCCAAATAGATCTTATCCTTCAATTTAGGTATTGCCATCCTTATTGTTATCGGATGCCTTGTTCCTCTTGCTTGTGTTGCTTTGAAATATCGTGTCTTTATTTCTTTAACTACTTCTCTATGTTTTTGTGTTTATGGATGTGTTCTTGTTTGTTTAGAGTTTTGTTAGACTCTTGAAGATTTGTATTTAATGCATCTTTAATATTTGAAAAAAAAAAAGGGCAAGATGTTTGTGAGTTTTCGTTGGAATATAATTATTCAATATATAAGTTTTACTTTTTCTGAAATAAGTCTTATTTTATATTAATTAATTGATTGATGTTAATATTAATATCCATGATATGCTTTTTAATCATGGTGATCGAGTGAGCCATATATCATCTTATTAATAGATTAAACGCAATGCAAGCAATTAGCGGTAAATAAGTGTGATGAATAAACATAAATTATGCATATATATGATGTTATTATTTGGTGAGGAGAAAATCACTTTTTATTGTTATAAGAGTTTGCCGGAAAATATTCTTATCATAGGAAGAAGTTATAACAATAAAATTAAATTAACCATTTTTTCAACAAAAAAAAAATCATACGAACAAAAATATAACTTAGTCATCAACTGATTAAAAAAAAAAAAATTAAGGACAACATTTTGTCGGTAAATACTATTCAATTTTTTTAAAGTTAGTCAAAGTTAGATTACTTTAAATTTATGTAAAATAAATAATTTTTTATTTAAAGGGGATTACGCAAATATTTTATTTGAAAGATATGAACTAATAATTTGAAATTACAAAAGTGAGTCATGCTTTAATTTTAGGGGAATTTTTATGCCATAGACGATAAAGTTATTGGCTTACAATAAAATAATACTCATTCGATCCTTAATATAAGACCTATTTAATTAATTTAATTAGATTAAAGAAGTTAGGTAAGTTAGTTAATTATAAAAAATATGACATGTTTTTCTTAAAACACCATAATCATCTTCCTTAATATCCTCCCTCTCTTTTAGGAAAAATTGATAAATATGAGAAGTAAAACTTATATTTAGGACCAAAATTAATTCAATAATTAGGTTCTATATTAAAGACCAAAGGCATATTAAATTATTCAAGAGGAAAATTTAGTAAAAAATTCTTGTTTGAAAATTTCCTCAATACCCTTTTTATTTTCTGTTCTCCTTACAATTTTATTTGAAAAATTTGGTTAAAAGTCATGTTTAAAAATTTAATTGGCTATTAAAAAATTTAAATTTAAGTGAGTATAACTATGATTCACAGGTGTAACTTTTTTTTTTACCGTGCACAACATATTTTTTATTATGTACAAATAACTTTTGTATTAATAATTGTTACACACTATTAATGATATGCTGTACAAGGTAAAA